GCACATATACATTATACTGCATGTAAATACATATATACAATATACTGCACATATTTTCTAGTTTACACGTGTGTACTGATCATTGTTTCTAAGAACAGATTAGAGCTTTAGCTTTTTAAATTTACATAGTTATCAAAGGAATATAGCTTTGTTGGCATGTTTTTTTTTAACCTTATTTAAAACAAATATCTTACTCTATGTGGCAGTCTTCAACTTTCTTCTATCTCAACACTGTAGGTCTGAGAATTATCCATGTTGATACATGTAATTCTAGTTCTTACTTAACTCTTTAGTGAGGTAAAATATACACACAGGACAGTGCATGTGTTACATGGGTGCAATCTGCTTAATGTTTGCCAACTGAGTATACATGTTACTGGCAACGGGACTGAAAAACAACATGACCAGCACCTCATCTCAGGTACCACTCTTGTACCTGCTTTCAGTGACTACTCACCCTCCCATAGAAACCACTATCCTGAACAGCAATGTTTAATTTAGCCTGATTTTTGAACATTGTATAAAGAGAATCATATTCTATGCATTTCTTAATGTCTAGCAGCTTCTTTTGCCCATCATGAGATCCAGCCATGTTGCACATACGGAATCACAGTCATCCATTTTCCTGGTGTTAAGTCGGAACTGTGATGGCTCTGAAGTTTTACGCCACTCTTGAGCTAACAAGATAGCCTGCCCCAGTTTTATACACACAAAACGCAGGTCCATGTGTCAGGAAAATAGACCATTTATTACTCACAGCAAAGAGCAGCAATTAAGGGGTGGGGATTATAGCCCAGTGGTGGAGTGCGTGCTTGGAAGCTGCTGACACATCAAGCTGTCCTCCCTCCATAGACAGAGGTTACTCATTACCCTGGAAACCATCTCCCCGTTGGAGATGGGAGGGACATTTCTAGATTTATTATCCTGAATTGTTTCCAAATCTCTCCAAAGAGATACACTAGCTCTGATTTCCAAAACTGATGCTCAGACATGCCCTTTGCTCAGAAGGCCTGGACCACACAGAAACACATGAAATCTGTGGACATTTGTCTCCAAAACATTGCTCTATAGCATTTAGTTGGGTGAATACACCATTATTTATCGATCTGTTCTTTGGTTCGTGTGCACCTGGGTAAGTTTCAGTGCAGGGTTATTATGAATAAAGCTGCTGTAAACATTCTTGTACACGTCTTTGGTTAACATTTGTAGACATTTCGGTTAGGTTATGTATCTAGAGGTGGCATCACAGGGTGATGGGTGTGCATATATGCAGCTCTAGTAGATGCTGCCAAACAGCTTTCCCAGATTGCTGTAACCCCTGACATCCCCATCAGCTGCCAATGAGACACATTGTTCCTAGAAATCCTTAGCAACATCTGGTATTCTCTGATTTTTTAATTTTTGCCCACTTGATTGATATGAAATAGTATTTTGTTGTTTTAAGACACAGTTCCCTGATTTTCTGTGAGCATACGTTCATAGGTTATTGGCCATTTGGGTTTTCTCTTTTGTAAAGTGTTTTTCCGTATCTGTTGCTTCCTTTTCTATTGGGTTGCTTGTCTTTTCCTTGTTTTGATTATATCTATAATATATATTTGATTTATATATATAAAGTCAATATTTTACATATATAGGCTATTTATCTTTTGTATATTGTATGTGTTTTGAAGGTATCTTTTGGGGTAGGTATGTCTGTATGTTGTTCTAGGCAGACGGGGCTCACAAAACCCTCAAGCTCCCATTACGGCTGGGAGCAAGCAATATTTTCTATTGTCTTGGTGGATAGATTTAACTAAGAGAAGGACTGTGATCCAAAGGGACCTGATAGCTTCTTTCAGGGATAAATCAGGAGCATCAGGCATGGGCCAACACCTGAGGACCACACAGGATCTGGCACACCTCAGAAGATGCCTATGTGAGAAAGTGACCCCCAAGGACAGCCCACTCTCCCCATATCCTAAGTATCCAGAAGTTAGACTCCAGCCTGGAGGAAATGAGGGGTATGCAGACTGAAACTGCTAATGTGGTTCAGTGGGGCAAGTTAGAATTGAGATTTCCTCTTGTAGAAAGAAAACACAACACGTTCATTATTTCACTGAAATTTTAAAAAATCCTCTTTGGCTCTATCCTTCGTATTTTGCAATAAAAACTTTGCTTCATGGAACTAATTATTTTTTGGGGGGGGGCAGGTAATCAGGTTTGTTTGTTTGTTTGTTTATGGTACTGGGGATTAAACCCAGGACCTCAACCATGCTAAGCATTCGGTCTACCACTTGAGCTACACCCTCCCCCCCATTTTATTTCTAATGCTCACTGAATAAAATTCCCAAGCCCAGCCTTATAATTAACTAAAGGAATCTAAGAAGGAATGGAGATGTCCCCCTCTCCTTTGGCTGGAGGAAGAGATTCCATTCTGCATCATAAAGATAGTTCACACTATCTGATTTGGTGAGATGTTCAAGTGAGAAACTTTGTTTTGAGTCCCTGTAGGAAAGCAAAGCCCTGTATGACTGCCAAGGACTGCTGACAACTTGATGTCCACTGAGATCAGGCTGCCCTTGAAATTGTAACTATAACTCAGGGGGCTCAGAAATTGCTGCTGTGGCCTGTGAAAATCTTCAAATGACACCCATAATTACAGTGGATAATGTGTAGTCCTGGAAATGAAGTTGCAAATGACCTCTGACACTCTGAGCACTATAAAGAAGGCTAGAAGCCCCAGCTTTGCCGCTTGCAGGCGGTATAACCACGGGTAAGTTACTTTACCTTTTTGTGCTTTCACTTTCCTCTTATGAATGAGGGTCACCGGAGACAGTTTCCTGTCACATCAGAAGTGATCACTGACACATCCTTCCTCGTCCACAGGCTTGCAGGTAATCTGATGACACTGGAGATTCTGGGGAGATGGCCCCCACTGCTCAGCTCCAGAGGTTGGCTCTAAATGGGCTCCTTGAGATGTTCCCCAGTTCCCACCATCAGAGCCCAGATCTCTAAACGTGTGTCTCCAGGGGAAGCAGCTCTCCCACCCGCCTCGATGACCTGGGGTGGTGGGGGTGGGGATGTCAGGGTTGTCCTGCCCAGTCAGGCCCCATTCTCCAACTGCCACCAAGAGAACAGAGGAAATAATACTCAGGCCAGCAGCTCCCAGACTTGGGGGAAGGTGTGTGTGCCCAACTCTCCTGTCTTACTTTCTCTCTCCCTCTCTCGGCTCCTCCATTTTTTTTTTTTCCCCCTTGCTACCTCCATCTCTCCCAATCTGTCTCCTCACTTTCATTCCCTCTTGTCTCTTTCTTACTTGTACTGTTTTTTTCTTTCTTGGTATCTTTCTCCCCATCTCTGCATTTCTGTCTCTCCTCTGATGTCTCTGTAAACTCTGGCTTCTCTTTCTCTCGTGGTATCTCTTTCCATATCTTTTCTACTCTCTGTCTGTCTGTCTTTGATCTCCCCATGTCTCTCTCCCTGGCCTCTTGAGTTCTCTGCCTGAGGAATTGGACAGAGCGACTCCCTGACTCCACTGTCAGGGCTGGACCCCCTGGCTCTTCCCTGATCCTGTCCATCTCTCTAACCCTCCTCATCCATCAAATATTTTCCTTCCCCACCACATGTGGACAAGTGGATGGCAAACCCAAGGGCTCGGGGAGTGTGAGAGCCACCAGCCAGGGAAATCAAAGCAGAGAAATGAGGAAGGAGGGCTGAGAGACAGATCAAGACAGATAGAGGCAAATTTGGGGCTCAGGCGTGGAGGAAGACAAGAAGGAAGAACTTGAGGGACAGCCTCTGAAATCCCTATTGGAAGCAGGTGGGATTAAGCTAGAGATGAGTGACAGAGACAGAGAGGATGCAGTTTGGGCATCTCTCTGCCTCTCGGAGGCCCCTCAGCTAGAAGGTAAGTGAGAAGGCAGCCTGAGGAAGCACAGCCTGACAGCCAACTGTTGGTCTAGCCCCTCAACCCAGCTCAGGATTGACTGTACACCGCCACCTCTCCTCTCCTGCCTCCATCTGACGCTGAGGGTCTTCTCACCTGTTTCTGACCCTCACACAGCTTCTTGTTCCTCTTTCTGTCTCTGCCCTTCTTGTCTCTGTGTCTTTTCACTTACTTGTCTGTCTCTCTCTGCCTCCATCTCCTTCTGTCTCCACTAGGGTCTCTACCTCCCTATGTGCATGTCTCTCAATTTGTTTCTCTCTTCATCTTTCCATTTGTTTCAGTCTCATTCTGGCCTTCTCCATCTCCTGCCTTCTCTCGGTCTAGGCAGTCCCTGTAGAAACCACCTGGGGCCTGACCCCGCTTTCCCTTCTTTTGGGAAGAGAAGCAGACCCACAGTCAGGTCAGGGGGCAGGGCTTGACCAGTCCTCCCCACCCCGCCCCGCCCCGCCCCCAACTCTGGGGACCTGGATGACTCCGGGAACCCCAGCCCCAACTAGGAGCGGGGTGATGCCCCAGAAGCCAGGCTCCCACGAAGCCCCACCACCGGAAGCCCCCTAGTCCTCCACCATTAAGCCCCGCACTGGTCCCCCCCTGCCGCGCCCCGCCCCGCCCCGCCCCAGCCCGTGGCCCCAGGAGCCAGAGTAGAAGGCCCTGAATTTCGCCATGAAGCTCTCCATGGTCCTCGCGGGTCCAACAGCCTTCCAGAATCTGAGATGGTAAGCTGAGTCCCAAGGGCTGGAGAGGAGGGCGGAGCGCCCAGCGTTTGAGGTACCCGAAGGGGCGGGACCTTAAGGCGCGGGACAGGGCGGGGCCTGAAGATGGTTAGAGGTAGGGTCTGCAGGCTGCTGAAGGTACCGAACTTGCAGACCTAAGGGGCTGTAGGGGCGGAGCCTACTTGGAGGAGGCCTCAGAGGAGTTCAAGTCGATAGGTAAAGGAGGTAGGGCCTGCAAAAGCCTTAGAGGACCCGGTTGAAAGATAGGGAATGGGGCCTGGAGACTTAAGGGTCTGTGGGCAACACAGTAGCCTGAGAGGGGTGGAGCCTGTGGACTCCCAGAGGGAAAAGGCTCTAAGAGATAGTGGGCCAACGTTTATTAGCAGCAGGGAGGTGAGGAAGGGCGGGGCTTAGGTGTACCAAATGAGAGGGACCAAATGGAGCGAACCAGAAATACAAGGGTGGCAGCCAGGGATACCCTGGGTCTGACTGCGGTCCAGGTCCTGCAGGTGTGTCGGGGTAGCCGGCAGGCCCGGGCCTGCGCCCGTGGAGCCAAGAGTTCAAGGCCAGGTCCCCGTTGGGGCCTTGGGAGGCCTGAGAACTCAGCATCTGCATCTCCAGGGAGCGATTTTATGAGAGAGGGCATTTCCACCTCTTTGCAATGGCTTTGTACAAAAGGGACTGTTTGTTTCCCATGAGGCTGTTTGCACCCCAGTGGGGGCGGCTGCCCCACACATGTAGGGGTTTACATGCAAGTGTTTGAGGCCAAATGTCCATCCAGAAAAATCTCTTTCCCAAAACTCCCCCACACCCAAAATGAACTCATTTCTGGTTCTTTTGTGGTACCCTTAAATACTGACAACACTGAGCATCGCAGAGCAGAAACATCTGTGGTGCAGAAGAGGAGGCTGACAAAGGGTACCTTCTTCAAGGAAGCTGGGTCCCCCTGGCCCCTACTTCCATCCCAGGTCCATGGTGAGGCCACATGGAGGGGAATTAGCTTCACAAATGGGTGACTGGTATCCAGAAAGACAGAGTTCATGATGAGGTCAGACTTCCCAGCCTTGGCGATAGAGACATGGGGCGGGGAGAGGTCAGAGGTGCCAGGTGCTGAACCACCCTCGCCACCCCAGCAATCTTGTGCTCACTCACTTCTTTCCCAAGCCTGTTCCTCTGTCTGCTTATGATTCACCACTTGGTCCCCACACATCCTTACTCACATCTTGATTTACTCCCCTTCCTGCACATTCATGCCACAAACCTTTACTAGAGCCCACTCTCTGTGGGACTCCAAATTGGAGGGCTCCCAAGTCCCCGAAGAGAGCTCTGCCCCTTGTCCTAGGGAGCGGCTCCTATGGGTGGCTCAAGGAGTACATACATAGGCATTTCAAAACTGGCTTTAAATACTCATCAGGGTGCCAAAGGGACTAGGGTGAGAGCTTGTTACATGTGAGTGGGGGCTGGGGTGCCCTGAGAGAGAAGAGACCCATCCATCAGGGCAGTTGGGGTGCCTCACCTCCAAACTGGGATAAGGGAACAGAGTAGAGGCCCTCTTTGGAGGGTCCCAGGGCCAACCAGGAGCCAGCCCCCCCATCGAGGTAGATCATGGGGGAGGGAACCGAGGAGGAGCTCCCACGGTGGCGGTGATAGGCGGTCACTTCCTCAGTGGTACTGCTGATAGCTGGGGTAGCCTGGGGCCGGGGTACCCTCCTTAGGGGGCAGCTGGCTGGGGTCCTCCAGGAATGGGGGTGCTAGAGAGGGGAGAATCAAGTAAAGGTGAGTGGAGGCGGCTAGTCAGAGCATTTCCTACCTCTCCCTGACCAGCTTTGCCAGGTTCTCACCATTGCGGAACTGCTGGGCGGTGTATCGAGTGAGGAGGATGCCGACACCCTCGATGAGGGCCAACAGGATGCCCCCCATCATGGCCGAGCCCACCATGGCCAGTGGGCCACCTGAAGGAAAGAGGAGGCAGGAGAGAGGGAGGTGAGGGCAGGCAGAACTGGGTAGAAGGGGCTGGGGCCAGGGACTGAGGCACTCACTGCGGGCAGCCAGCACAGCTCCGGTCAATGCTCCACTAGTGATGGAGTTCCAAGGATCTTCCTTGCCCCGCAGTCGCACCAGACCACAGTCGATGGTGGAGAACAGGCCCCCCCATACCGCGAAGCTACCTGTAGGGGGGACCAAGGCCTAATTAGTGTTCCTGAAGAATCGCAAGAATCTATGGCTCAGGGTCTGGGGACTTCCAAGGCCTGTATGCTCTGACAAAGAATGGGGAGAAAAACCCAGATGCAGAGGCAGATGGCGAACTCCTGGGGGATAGTCCCCATCTGTCCCTGTGGTGGCTTTTTCAAGCTGTCTATAATCATTATCACACTTCCTTCACTTTCACGGGGAGTTGACAAGTGTTTACAGGCAAATTTATCTGCTTCTAGATGGCTTTTAACAGAGCAACTTTGATCCTCATAACTACCACATAGAATTGGAATTCTGATCTTGGTTTGGGATAAGGAAACGGATTAGGAACGGCAGTTAACAATATGATGGTTAAAATGTTTACTGAGGTCTAACTCTGTGCCGGCACCTAATCTAGGCACTGCATGTTATTTGACTTCTGAAAATTTAAAGTTAATATTATCAAAGTGCTTAGCAGCACAACCCACACTTAGTAAGGACAATGTAAATTACATAAATTATAAAACTGACTGGGGTGGTTACTGTTATTGCCATCCCTGTGTTACAGATGAGGTTCAGAGATGTTAAGCCACTAGCCCAAGGTCACACATCAGGGAAGAGCCAGGGCCTGGACTGAAACTCCAGAACTCACCCATATTAAATTTCTGGGAAACATCACTCCCCCAGGAAGTCCCAGGCAGAATTGAGGCTAGAATCTGGACCCCTATCTTGCAGTCTAGACTCAAAGGAGAAACCACTCTCAACTCTGTTATCATATCTCTTTTATGTCTCCCCAAACCTCTCACCTCCAATTTGAGGGGCTCGGATCCTCACAGCATTGACACTACCTCTCAGTCGGTGCCGAATTCCCTGGGGGTAAGGGATAAGGAAGGGAATCAGAAGCAGGCTCACTGGCAGACAAGGTTTCTAGCTTTTAAAAGAGGGACGGGGTTGGGGGGAGCGTATAGCTCAGTGGCAGAGTGCATGCTTAGCATACACAAGGTCCCGGGTTCAATCCCCAGTACTTCCTCTAAAAATAAATAAGTAAACCTAATTATCTCCCCAGCAAAAAATTTAAAAATTTGAAAAAAAATTTAAATAAATAAAAATAAAAAAGGGACAGGGTGGGAAACCCACTAGAGGTATCAGGGGTAAAAATGTGAAGTGGCCAAGAATGAGGGGGCTGGAGAGCACCCCAAAATAGGTGTTCTCAGAGCTGGATTGAGAAGTTATTCATTCATTCATTCACTCATTCAGTAATTATTGAGGACCTATGTGCCAGGCCCCATGTTATATGCAGGCAAACAGTAGTGAACAAGGTAGACCTGGCCCCTATCCTCTCAGAGCTCACATTATAGTGGGAGAGACAGATCCCAGATAAACAAGATAGCATCAGACAGCAATGCAAACCCTACAGGAAATAGAATGAAGAGACATGATAGTGGCTGAGGGATCAGGAGTGGCTTCTTTAAGGAGTGGGACATTTGTGAACCTTGAGGATGAGAGGGAGAAGCTTGGGCAAAGATCCAGGAAACAGAGTTCCAGGAGTTGAAGGGAGGGACAAGGCTAGATATATACGTTGCAGAAACCCTGACAAATGGATGGCATTTCAAGTCATGACATTGGATGAGATCTCCCAGGGGGGTGGGGCGGGTGTCAGAGAAGGTGATAGAATTACGTTAAATTAAAAGCATTTTCTGGTGCTCACTTTGGCAGCACATATACAGCCAAGA